TTAAGATATTTCTGATGAAATCCAAGAGCTTTCTGCATAGACAGCAACACTACCACGTTCAAGACCCAGAAAGAAAGTAAGTACATCGTTCACAAGAGTACCACGACACATGACATAATTTTCATTTTTGGGTGAACACTTTTTAAAGAAGAGTAAGTAAAATAATGTGAAGAAAGAAAATTGACATTCGGTAACAAGGAGTCTGACCATATATGTCAGTATTGAACCAAAATGCTGTTGTTGTTTTTTTAACACTTTTCAAATGTCAAAGCAGCCGTTTCAGAATAGATTATTGTATAGCTGGCATACTGTTTAGTTTGTCTTGTCTTTTTGTACAACAGATTGAATGCCTTTTTTTTATCTCTGGGATCCACTGCTGTACCCAGTTTGAAAAGGCCTTTATATCTAAACATAATACACAGATATTAATGTGTTTGCAACTGTTTAACCTGAATATGTACTCTTAAAATGTAATTACTTATTTTTGTCATATTGTACTCCTGTTTCTAGGACTATGATGAAGAAGAGATGTCAGTCGGCCTATTGACCGTGATCCCTGAGCTGAGGACTCTAGAGCCATATCTAACTCACTGCATTTAATGCCACATCTACTGCAATCATTTTGGAAGGTACAATTGTATAGGATGATCTGGAAAATCCTCCCCAAGACATATGCCTGCTCTTTGGACTAATTTATGCTATGAAATTATAGCATCCAGTATTGAAGGATACCTTTGATTTCATTCAATGGCTGAACCTAGAATGCATTCTCTGAAAAACCTTCTGATGTAGAAAGATGCCATTGTGGCGTGATGGAGCATTTTGCAGTGTAATTGTTCATGATTGACCATTATTGATTTAGAAAATGGTCATTCTAGAAAATTGTAAATCTAGATTTACAAGGTGTCATAAAAGGGATGTTGATGTTTTTTTTCTTTTTCTATTTATTTCCTGAGTGCAGTATGTGCAATTTTTCTTTCGGTGTTAAATTGTTGATTTGATAGCATGCCTAAAAAGTAATGACTTGAAGTAACATTGTTTTATTAAACAAATAAATGCCCTACTGTTGTGTTAATCTGTTTTCTGTCTTTGTATTAACAACTTTAAGTTTTCAGTACAGCTTACTTGAGAAATTTAAGGCAATCAGTTTCCACACATTTGTCTAGTAATGTGAACAAAGCAGACTTGTTAAGAGAACTGTTTTGTTTGAGTTCTGTGCACTCAGCTTAACTTACATCTCATAGTTTGCTGAACTTGTCAAATTGAGTTAGCAACACTCAAGTTTTCTGGTAACCTCTACATATACACAAGTTACCTATACAAAGTTACAGTAAGTTTTATTAACTCAAAAATTATAAACTAATTTGCTTGAGAAATTGAGGCAATCAGTTTCCACAGGTTTTCCAAGTAAGTTCAACTGATTACTTTTTACAGTGTATTGTGATATCAAAAATATTACCACTGGAAGTGTTTAAACAAGTAAACTGTACCCTATTCATGGAATGTGCCTTGCCCTATATATATATATAAGCTTTAGAATATATAATACTTTTAAAATGGCTAAGCTTGCATGTTTTAAGCTCTCTGTTAAACCATTTAAATAATTGAATAGTTGATTCACTTGCATTAATATAGTCATGTTTTTTCATCTGCCTTCTCAAACTTTCATGGCAGCAGCACCAGTTTTTTTCCTACCTTGAAAATGTTTAAATTCATTCTATTTTGCCATAATCTCTTAATCTTCAGCAGGGAAGTGGTTGTACTCCGTCGTGAGAAGGAAATCAAACTGAGGAGCTCCATGTTTCAGTTGCACATGCTCCAGAGTTAATTATAAACTTGCTCAAACCCAGAGAAAGTTTATAACGAGTGTTCATCTGATCTAAAGTAGGTTGGATGTGTTTGGTTTTGTCAACTCTAAACCTACTATGAAACGCCGAGTTTATTGAACTAGCTTTGTGAAACAGGCCACAGAAAGATGAAATAACCACAACCAAAACATTCTAAGTGGAAATTAATTTCATCTCTTTATGCAGTTTTTAAACATTACAGTTAAATACATTTGAATGACAGAATATCACAGAACTGAGAATTATTCTTTTCAGTTTCTGTCTAGACATCCTACACAATGCATCTAAACACTACAGTCATCCGTTTCCTCTGACAATGGCAAATAGGCACAGACAAATAATAATATTGAGGAACTGATCATGAAACAAATCAATCTTTCAGACCTGGAATCCTTTATGGATCTGAGCCTTACAAAATATTGCACAATTTGAATTAAAAAAAAAAAAAAAAAATCCAGAGCCTGGCTTTTACTTGCCATGTTGCATAGCCTTTAAATGACCCTCCCCATGCACAGTCACAACAGTTTCCTTTGCTCTCTTAGTTTGCGGTGCGTTTTTACACATGGTCATGAAGATCAACAAGTCTGTACTGTTATTAGACACCCACGATCATCCCAAGTCAAACATATGGAGAAACCTCTACAAAAGCAGAATATGTAAAGACAACAGATTTCCGGATCAGTGACTTCAGCTGATGGGCTGCAATGCTGTGAAATGAGCAAAGTCTGACCTTCACTGTTTACGGGTGTTTAAAAAAAAAAAATAAAGTCTGCTAAAGTAACATGTTCATTCCTGCTTCAGTTGCTATTTTCTCTACTGGCTTTGAAGCCTCTGGTAAGGCTATCGACCCCAATGTACATGGCCAAAGACGGAAATACAAGGTTAATGTTCAGTTTTAGAAGCATAAGGCAATAATCTATCCACTCGCTCTCTCAAAGCCAGACTTCACCTGAAGAAAAACCAACGACTCGCTGATGAGTTTGTGCAAAAGACAACATCCGTCTAAACTAACGTCTCTTGATGAAGATTAGAAAGCACAGAAATGACCCCATGACAGAGCTTTCCATGAGGATCATATGGAAGGAGGACTTAATCGGAGTATAATGGTGCTCTGACGTCACCGTCCACTTCTTTTGACTAGCAGACTCGCCAATAAACTACATCAAAGCACTCTGACCAGCAATAGCATCGGATTCAGGAGTCAAACTGCTCCACACATATGACAATACCAAACCTGAACGCAATGGCAAGTCATGAGCTAGACTTCAAATCGCATAAGGGACATTTTGGTGGCTCGCTGTAGTGAACAAACGTAGTAGGGACCAAAACAATTTATTGTGACTAAATGAATTTTCACTGCTTGTTATATCATTAGAGGAATGGAAAGAAAGCCGAAACAATCCTAGCACAAGTTGTGCAAAGTACAATGTGTATTCATATTTGAAGATTGCCGCCCGTGCAGCCCGCTGATACCTGCAACTCCATACTCAAGAGCAACGAAAAGTACCATTATTGAGCGATACATCACATTTTAAACTGAATACTCCCTGTATTAAAAGTTTCAACCATTAAAAAAAAAAAAAAAAAAAACATGTAAAGACTTCAATGATCACACCCTGACACATGGCATCATTTGACAATTCAATACGAATTTACTCTTAAGAACATGACTAGACAGCGGAAGTCTGCTTCGGCCCTCCTCATGTTCATGTTGGAGGTTTCCAGGATGTAATTACATAAAGCCCCATCACGGTTTCTCCTCTTGATGCCTTCTGGATTAATTTACAGAGAGGGGTGGTGACTGTAGAGCGTGAATTCATTCGTTCCGAATGGGGGTGCGCGACTCAAGCTGGGGCCGAGTGGGAGTCCGAGCTCTTGCTTTTGTTCTCCGTCTGGCCTTCCCAGTCCGTGGTGCCTTTAAGCGTTTCTGCAACTCTGCAGTCTGTGTGTGAGGTCACTGGGGAGGAAGTTTCAGATTCTGTCTGCCCTCCTCCATCTCCAGGGGGACCCAGACCATGAGGACAACCCCGTCCCGGAGGAACACTTGCCACGCTAATGTTTCCGACTTGGTTCTCTCCTGCTGTGCTCGGGCCATGCAGCTCCGTTACCCCTGCGCTGGACGACGTTGGTTCCTGGATCCCTCCCGGCTCCAAAAGCGAGTCACTCAAGTGTGAAACTGACAGGATATCCGGGCCAATGGCGATCTCAGCCATCCAGTCGAGGTCGGAGTTTGATGGGTCGATGGACAGACCAGTATTTACCACCAAGCCATTGTGGGTTTGGAGCTGAGGTTGGTCCTGAGCGGCTTGCCGGTCCTGGCCGTTAGTGTTCGCGTTAGCGGCTGCATTAGCTTGGCCAGCAGGCGCAGTGCTGCTAGTGTTGTTGTTGAGATTGTCCTGCAATGCAGTCTGGTTTCCTTGACCCACCTGCTGGTTCTGAAGCAGCATCTCCTGGATCCGGATCTGCTGCAGGATGGCTGGCAGCTCGTAGTGATGGAAAAAATAGATCATTGAGTGCTGCGCAAGACAAAAACGAAAAGGCTCATGAGCTACAAACAATTCTATGCAACTCCACAGATTCCCCGGTTACACTGAAAAAAGCTGAAATAAGATACCTGAATGAAGAGCCAGGAAGTGACCAAAGCCAAACTGCTGTACTGGCCGTTAAAGCGGTAATGATACGCATAGAAGGCAAAGTGATACAGATAAAAGAATCTGAAAAACAGCACAAGAGATCTTTTAGATGCGATAATCGATACCGTGGCATTAACCACCAAAACAACCCTAGTGAGCTGTCTTACTGTCCATTCTCTACATAGGGAGCTCACATTGACATGGAACCTTATAAGTGACTGATTCAACAGGAAGCAATTTCAGTAAGCCACACAAAGTGCTCCCGAGTACCCCAAAATGTTTCCAAAAGAAAGTGATGTTAATGAGATGCTAACAACATAGTACTCAAAGCTTTAAAAAAAAAGCATTTGGCTACAATTCTTTTTGATCAATGACTACTGAAAATGTTTTTTTAAAAACAATTCAGATTGATTTGCCAATTATGCATTCAGACCATTTTGTGAAACAATTTACCAAAACAAGCTCACTTTTTAGCTTTGCTAAAAGGCGTTTACCTATGATGCTGTCTAGGTAGGCAGCACACTAGGTTTTGAAACAAAGCTAATATATACACTATACTTCAGTTTAATTTTCATTTTTTTTAATAGGCTGATCTGAATTGTCAACCTAAGCCAGCATTTCCAAGAAATGGCGAAGAACAGAATTAAACCATTGAGCTTGTAATACAATTAATATTTGAACATCTGCAGCTAAAACTAATGCGACCAACCTGACCAAATGTGATGTATCCTAACCAAAACTATGAGACCAAGTAAAGAAAGAATAACCAATATTTTTCTACTAAGATTACTCTCTAAACACCATTTCTAAAAATGGGCAGTTAAAATAATTATGTTAAGAATTAATTATTTTATAGATAATCATCACGTTGATTAGCCCTTGAAAACGTACTATCTTTTTGTTTCAGACATACTGGCTGTCATTTTGCTTAGTTTGGATATATTTACACATTTATTATTCATTCATACAACCACAGTGAATAAGCGCTAATGGCTGCTTCATGACCAGTTTTGAAAGTTCTGTGTGAATTCCTCTAGGGGGCAAAATTGTGACAACTATATGCGAATGTTGGAGATACAGTGGGTACGGAAAGTATTCAGACCCCCTTAAATTTTTCACTCTTTGTTATATTGCAGCCATTTGCTAAAATCATTTAAGTTAATTTTTTTGCCTCAATGTACACACAGCACCCCATATTGACAGAAAAACACAGAATTGTTGACAAGGCAGATTCATTTCAAGATATCATAATATCATAGTTATCGAAACAATGGTTCTAGTCTGTGTGAAACTATTCAAGCTAAAATTTGAGATCGTGATTAGATACATTCAGAACAAACTGTTAAACTTTTGTTCTGCAGCTTTCCTGTAGCTCAAACTGTAGAGCATGGCACTAGCAATGCATAGACCAAGGTTTGATTTACCAGGGAATGCATGAATTGATAACACGTATACCTTGAATGAAGTAGCTTTGGACAAAAGCGGCTGTCAAATGCATAAATGCAAACGTGAAGTGAATGTAAAACAGCAGTAGAGGAATCTGAACCACTGGCATTTACCTGTGCCGATGTGATTACATACCTGAGCCAGTGGCGCTTGCTTGTATTGGTGTGGCAGCAGATGGCATCGTATTGGTCTGCCAACCAAACAATGAGGATTATGTAGAAGGCAGTCGTTGTGTCATTGAAAAACTCAGACATGATGGCCTCCATCCCTGCAGACAGGATCAAAATAGAGTATTTGGTATCAAACGACTTTCACAGAACGTCTTAACAAATTTTCATGTAATATCTGAAGTCAACAAAATAAAAGATCAGGCATCAAGTTGAAAGGAGACTAATAAAGACATGAGAACATCTCTTTAAAACTCCCAGCAGTGAGCTCTACCTACCTACAAGAGCCAGGATGACAGTGAGGAGAGGGGCAGCAGGGAAGGCAATGGTCATATTCATCTCCAACATCTGGAGAAGGTCCACTGAGAAAAAAAGCGAACATCAGAGAGATAAGTCTTGTTAAAAAGAATGGCTTTTTAATGTGTTATAGACTTGATCGTGGAACATGATCATATCGGTTATTCACAGTGTTAAAGACCCAAGAGGCTGATGGGAACTTACCTATAAAGACGAAAATCTGGTGGTGCGAGTACCGCAGCAGCATGGACACTGACAGAGTCTGAGAGAGAAAATATGAAGAATTTCCATGTGATTCAGCAAGGACCAGTTCACCCAAAAACTATAGTTGTGTCATCACTTGCTCACTTGTATGACTTTCTTTCTTTAATGAAACCCAATAGGTCAATTTCTGAAGAATATTCTGGTCACTTTTTTAATATAATTTAACTGAATGATAAATCTCAAAATGTCGTCATTTACTGCAAGTGAATGAATCATTCTATTGAGTCAGATCTTTTCAGAGAATCCGTTCATTCAGCTCACCAAATCTGAAAGATACGTTTACAAAATCAGACTTTTTTTTACCCCAAATTTAACTGATTGACTCAATGATTTGGTACAGCTGTTAACACCTTGCTAATGGGGCACATTATTATTAAGTGATGCCTTCAATATCAGTCTGTTTATCACTCAAAGCTATCATATGACCTCAGAGTATTCAGAATATAGTGCATAGTTTACAATAATTTAAAGTGATTTTAAACCATTTTTCCATTTTCAGTTTGAAAGCTCTAGTCACCACTCATTGTAATCGGGTGGAAAAGAGATTAGAACACTGTAAAATTTTCACCTTGTGTTCCATTTATGAAATAAAGTCATTGGAATGAGTAAATGATCAGTTTTCATTACTGGGTGAACTGATTACCAAAATGCTCAAACTGAACTCACAAAGATAACCATGATTACAAAGGCTGCCAGGTAGGAGGTACGAGCCATCCACATACTGACAAAACGGTAGTGTTCACCAGAGACCACGTTCCTCAGAAACCCTAAAAACAAACAAATCACACTCACTTCATAGTTACAGCATCATCAAGAAAAAAACATTCTTAAGAGAGAACATCTAATTTACCTTTGTTTTCCTCATTCTCTGCTAAAGCCTTCACACTGGACATCAGGATATCGTCATAGCCCAGGCATTCATCCAGGAGGAAGCGACTGAAACCGTCTCCAAAGCACTGATCCTTCATGGGGTCTGAACACAGGCCGAGAGAGATGAACTACAACTTTATGCTTTCCCTTTTAAAAAAAACAAAGTCTTCTTTTTGAGGAAGAGTTCATAAAAAATATATATTTAACTCACTCTCATGTCATTCAAACCTTTATGACTTTCTTATAGAACTGCACAATCATTTTCAACTAATTTATTATTATTATTATTATTTTTACATTATATCAGAATTACTGCACTTTCACAAGAACAAATCAAGAAAACGTCAACTCGTATGATTTGCTTGCAGATTTAGTGGCAGCAAATGACTGTGTGAAAGAAAACAGACTGGCTGTATTACACTTTTATTTGAGCAGAATGTCTCAATAGAGATCATTAAACTCTAAATTACATGTTTGCTGATGTTTTAAGTTCATAATCACTTTTCTTCTGTAATGTAGAGAGAGCGCATGCACATGGCTGCCAGGTTGGGACGATTAAGTAAACCACTGGACAGAAATGCATCCATTTAAGAGAAAAACTCTGGTTGATGGATTCAAACATTTGACATCTGGCAACCACAACCATGAAAGCTTGTTTCTAATGCAAGATAAAGCGAACGGCTAATTATGATGAAATGTTTTCAGGATAAATAACCAGTGGGAGAATATCACACATGATTATGCTTAATAAATCGAAAGAAGCAGAAATTGATTAAATGATTAAAATACGATTCATCGTTGATTTCTTCCATGGAACACAAACGGTGACTTTCTGAAGAATATTCTGCAACAAATTCTATTAGTCTACTAGGTATGTTAAAATAAGTCCATACAACTTCAATTTTGGTCTGTTTATGAATGAATGAATGAATGATGCATTATATTTATCACACAAAAGCAAAGTTATAAGTGACTGAAACACCAAGAAGATCAGTAAACAATAACAATTTTAATTTTTGAATATTCTCAAGAATATTAGAATATAATAGTGCAAAAATTGAATATTTGATTCTTTTTTGGATTTTGGCCTGGTTTTCTGTTGATGGCCTGCAGGGTGTGATGTACTCACCCAGGGTCACCACCATAACAGGGATGTTGAGTCGCTGCCGTGTGGCCTGGGACAGCCGTAGGAATCCATATTCCAAAGAATATTCGACAATATACTCTTCTTGTGGCCACACTACACAAACAAACACAAACACTGACAAATGCTGACAATGTTTCATTGAATTGAGAAATTCTACTAATCTAGAAAGCTTTCATTTCACACTAATTGTTCTATAAAGTTTCTCTGTATTAAAAAAAATACACTGCGACTATGCTGTCATTGATTTGTGTGCGCGCGCACGTTTACGGAAACATATACAGTAATGTTTATGTTCTCATTTTGGGGTTTCAAGCTTTAATTTGGGGGACTGACACCCTGAAACCGTCCTGCAAATAACACCCTGTTCATCTTACACATTTTAAATAACTTATTTGAATCCAGATGTGAAGTTTGAAAACTGTGAATTTGTATCCAAACTGTATGAAATTACAGTATCTGGGACACTCAGACATCTTATCTTACAACAGGCCACTGTGATGGTTTCGGAAGTCTTGTGACACAGCACACATGGCCTCTGGGAAGGGCAAGGTTATAAAAGAATGTGGGAACAGAAAGGAAATCTGATCGGGGAAGTGAGAAGGGCTGCACTGGATGGAGGGAGGACAGGGAATGAATTCACAAAGGAGGAAGAGAAGGAAGAGGAATGCACCAGATGGCTATTTGAGATGTTTACCTGCTCGAGTTAGCATCTCAATCTCGGAGACAGTCTCCCTCAGCGGCTGCATACCTTTAGAGGGGGCCTGGCTGAAGGACAGATCCTGGGATTCATTCAGGCTGGAGCCAGGAACACCGCCACTCAGCGACGGATTCAGGCGTGGCTCGATGTCTAGCTCAAACTGCATTTGTGTGAGAGCGAGAGCGAGAGAGAGAGCGAGAGCGAGAGCGAGAGAGAGAGAGAGAGAGAGAGAGAGAGAGAGCGAGAGAGCGAGAGAGAGAGCGAGAGAGCGAGAGAGAGAGAGAGAGAGAGAGAGAGAGAGAGAGAGAGAGAGAGACACAAAGGGCACAGTCTGTCAGAACGATCTGGAGAACAGGAATAATTCACAATAAAATAATATTCTATCATTATTTATTGACCACGAGGACATTCTATAAAAGTATGCAATTTTTTACTAGTGGCACCCAAAAGGAAAAAAAAATAACACACTTTAAAATGTTCCATAAGCCTCAAAACTTCTATGAGGACCAGATTGAAATGTAATATTATATACTAAATTCTATATTTAAATTCTACAAATATATTCATATAATATTATACTTTGTTAATAATGATAATATTAATAAGAAACTTAGTTGTAGCAGTAGTAATAGCAGTTAGAATACAATACTATATTATTAGAACTAATACAATTACAATATTTCAATGAACAAATATTGAATTAAATTAGAAATTCATATTTACTCTTAGGCAACTACATACTCTTTCTGATCTTTTCATATTATTCATTGTATATTCATATATATTGATATTCATTCATTCTATATCAAAGTTAACAATAGTATTAATAACATAAGTGACTTATTAATAGTAGCAATAGTAACAGTACATTATATTGCATAAATTAATACAAATATAATTATTTAAATTAACAAATATTAGAAACTAATATTGATTTACTGTTGGGCAGCTGCATACTATTCCACTATTTTCACATTAATTCGATATAGTTGTATAGAAAAGAGCGGAAAGGAGCACACACAAAAAAAATATTTTTCAAGAACATTTATGCATCTCTTTTCTATACAAAGGCAGTTCATAGAGACCTGTGAAGTTTAAAAGAACATTTAAAAAAGCACAATAAATTCAAAGAACTTGTGTGAGGACCAGACTGTATTTGTTAGTTAATATTATATTAAAAAAATTATATAATAATAATTGTGAAATAATAACTTATATTAACAATATATTAACAAATATTAGAAATTAATATTGATTTGACGTGTTAACAGCCTATGTTTTGGGACAATATGAGAATGAGTACATAAATAACAATTAGCAATTTTTATATGAATTATGCCTGGCTTCCTATCCTAGTTTTCCTGTTCCTGTGTAATAACCTCACCCGTACTGTGCTGTTGTCAAACATCTCCATGGTCATCTCTTCCTCCTCTTCAGCGTCTGTGGGCACCATTGGCTGTCTGGTTTCCCTTCCGTCTTCCTCTGGTTCTTTCACGAGGCCCTGGATTCCCTCCGTCTCGTAGAACTGCAGAAAGATGGGCGCGCGGCTGGAGTTGCGCTGGATCTCCACACGCAGGATGCCATCACGGGGCCATTTCTCCCGCACGTGCTCCAGGCAGTTGATTGGAGAGCGTGAGAAGGCAATGTGGATGTAGGCCAGGATGAAGAGCATAAACAATGCCTGCCAATCAAATGACATGAAATAAAAGTGAATAAAAACAAAAAATGCGGACAGAAACCACAGAATAGGCAACAAAGCAATAAAAGTAGCACTTCCATAACAATAACAGCATGATATAATATTTAAAAAAATACTCCTTTTATATTCATCAAGTCAAAATTCTAAAACTATAACTGAAATTGAGATAATTTAAATAATTTCATCAGAGACTTTATTCATGCTTACATGACTTTATTTTTTATTTTATTTACTGAAAGTACAGGACAGAATTAAGTTAATCTGTTTTTTTTTTTTTTTTAAACCTGTTGTAGTAATAATAATAATAATAATAATTAATAGCGGCTTGTGTCAACACTTCTGTCAGCTTCATAATCTCCCAACAGATTTGTCAATGGATAATGCACATTTGCGGTTTCCAGATATTTATTATTACTTTTGAGTATATATATATATATATATATATATATATATATATATATATATATATATATATATATATA